TCCCTGACAGGATCCAAGAACCAGTCCCTGACAGGATCCAGGAACCAATCCCTGATAGAATGCAGGATCCAGTCCCTGACAGGATCCAAAAAACAGTCCCTGACAGGATTCAAGAACCAGTCCCTGACAGAATCTAGTCTCTGACAGGATCCAGTTGGACAAGGCTTCAGTGTCTGCAGGCAGGAAACTGCTTCATTAGAAAGCCGATGAGGTCACAGGCTCGAGTCCGAGTCAGTGGAGCTGCAGAACCGGTCAGTTAGAGTCCGAGCTGCCACTCAGCTCTGCAGCTCCATGTTTTATTCAGGTCTCTGAGGAGAACTGACTCACAGCTCTGCAGCCAGAACAAAATGTCAGAACTCAGATCTGTCCTGTCAGCTGGGTCTTTACAGAAAAATCCAACTGGACCGATGATGGAAAAGTCTGTTTTGATAACTGGATCCTTAAAACAAACAAACAACAACAACAACAACAACAAAAAAACCTATCAGACCCTCAGAAACACTGGAACCACTAAAATCACAGATGATCCAGATGATCCCTCAACAGAACCATTTATTATTCTCAGAGCTTCTCTGCCAACGGTCTCCACAGAGACCAGAGACTCTCTGTCCATCTGTCCCATCAGAGACTAAGAAATGTTGAGACCAGAAATCTTGTTCTGTCTGATCCTTTTTAATAACCTTTGAGTTTACATTAAATGACTACACAGCCACAGAGTAAATTTCATCTTAGCAGGTGTTCATCAAAAAACACTGTAACCAAATTTAAAGAATCTCTTTCATTGTTGTTTTCCTCTGTCTTGCAGAGTAATGCAGTAGAAAACAGTTACTTAGATCATCTGGTTGATAAATTTACAACTTCAATGAAAACTTCACTTGATAATATTGTTCTTCTGAAAAAGAAGGTACTCAATCAGAGGAGATTAGCTCCTTGGTTCAATTCTGAGTTGCGTATTTTAAAACAGGCGTCTAGAAAGCTGGAAAGAACACAGTGCTCCACTAACATGGAAGAATTTTATTTCATTCGGAGAGATAGTCTGCTAACTTATAAAAAAGCTTTCCATAAAGCTAGAACTGTATATTATTCATCTTTAATAAATGAGAATAAAAATAACCCCAGGTTTCTGTTCAGTACTATAGCTAGACTAATGAAGAGTCCAATCTCTGTTGAGCCTGGTATTCCTACAGCTATAAACAGTGATAACTGCATGAGATTCTTTATAAATAAATTATTTCAATTAGGGAGAAAATTAAAACCATATTTCCTACTGTTGCCTCTGGTTTCCTATCAGATGAGGCCACTTTAAAAATGTCACTAGAACCTTATTTATGTTTGGATTGTTTTTTTCCTATTCTCTGAATTGTCAAAAATAATAGCTTCATCCAAACCAGCAACATGTCTGCTAGATCCCATCCCAACCAGACTGTTTAAAGAGGTATTTCCTCAAATTAATATCCAAATGTTGGATCTGCTTAAGTTGTCTCTATTGAATGGTTACATACCACAACGTTTTAAGATTGCTGTAATAAAATCTTTACTTAAGAAACCTGATCTTGATTCAGGAAATCTGGCCAGCCTTCCTAAGAAGTATATGTAATCTAATATTAATAAACCAGCCACCAGGGAGCACAAGCCAGTGTATCTCTTGTACCAGTCCTAAGCCTGGGTAAATGGTGAGGGTTGTATCAGGAAGGGCATCTGACGTAAAACACTTTTGCCAAAATTATAATGCGACTTTATCAAAGCAAACCCATACCAGATCGGTCAAGGCCCGGGTTAACAACGACCGCCAACGGTGCTGTTGACAAACAGGGTGCCGGTAGAAATTGTGCTACTTTTAGTCGAAGACCACAAGGAGGGCAATGTGTCAGGAGACAGAGGGAGAAGAGGAAAGTCAAGAATGTAGGACTGAGGGTTGCAACTCTAAATGTGGGGACAATGACAGGTAAAGGTAGAGAGCTGGCTGACATGATGCAGAGAAGGAAGGTAGATATTTTATGTGTCCAAGAGACCAAGTGGAAAGACAGCAAGGCTTGTAGTATTGGAGCACGGTTTAAACTGTTTTAGCATTTAGTGTGGCTAGAAATAGAAATGGAGTAGGGGTGGTCTGGAAAGAGGAGTTGGCAAAGAATGTAGTAGATGTGAAACAAGTGTCAGATAGGGTGATGTGTCTGAATGTAGAAGTAGAAGGTCTGATGCTAAACATCGTCAGTGGTTATGCTCCACAGGTTGGATGTGATGAGGAGGACAAAGATACATTTTGGAAAGATCTGGATGATGTGATAGAGAGTATTCCCAGGGAGGAGAGAGTGATGATGGGAGCAGACCTGAATGGACATGTTGGTGAAGGAAACAGAGGGGATGAGGAAGTGATGGGTAGGTTTGGTGTCAAGGAAAGAAACCAGGAATGACAGATGGTGGTGGATTTTGCCAAGAGAATGGAAATGGCTGTAGTCAACACTTATTTCCAAAAGAGGGAGAAACATGTAGTGACCTATAAGAGCGGAGGAAGGATTACGCAGGTCGACTACATTCTGTGCAGAAGAGGAAACCTGAGGGAGATTTTAGACTCTAAGGTTGTGGCAGTGGAGAGCGTGGCCAGACAGCATCGGATGGTTGTGTGTAGAATGTGTTGTTGTGAAGAAGAAAAAAATAATAAAATCAGAGAAGAAGACCAAATGGTGGAAGATGAAGAAGGAAGAATGTTGTGAGAAATTCAGAGAGGAGCTGTTAAAGGCTCTGGGTGGTAAGAAAGAGCTTCCAGATGACTGGACTACTACAGCAACAGTAATTAGAGAGACGGGTAGGAAGATACTTTGTGTGTCATCTGGACAGAGAATGGATAATAAGGAAACCTGGTGGTGGAATAGTGAAGGGCAGGAAGCTATTAAAAGAAAAAGGTTAGCCAAGAAGAAATATGACAGTGAGAGGACTGAAGAGAGGAGACAGGAATTTAAGGAGATGCAATGTAGAACAAAGAGGGAGGTGGCAAAGGCAAAGCAGAAGGCATATGATGAGTTGTATGGGAGACTGGATGATAAAGAAGGCAAGAAGGACTTCTACCGATTGGTAAGACAGTGGGATCAGGCTGGAAAGGATGTACAGCAGGTTAGGCTTGTTAAAGATAGGAATGGTAATGTTCTAACAAGTGAGTAGAGGGTGACGGGAGGTGGGATTGCATCAAGGATTGGCTCTGAGCTCCTTCTTGTTTGCTCTGTTGATGGACCAACTAACAAATGAGGTCAGGCAGGAATCCCTGTTGACTATGATGTTTGCAGATGACATTGTGATCTGTGGTGAGAACAGGCAACAGGTGAAAGAGAACTTGGAGACGTGGAGGTATGCACTTGAAAGAAGAGGAAGGAAAGTCAGCCGTAGTAAGACAGAGTACATGTGTGTGAATGAGAGGGAGGAGGTGGAACAGTGAGGAGAGGTTACAAAGGTGCAGGACTTCAAGATAGTGCTTCTTTTCCACTGTCTCCTTTGTGCTTGCTCAAGAAGGGAGACTGACGAACTGAAGATTCAACACAATCTGCTGCTTCCTCAGATAGAGAACTTTTACTAATTGTCCTTTATAATGTCTGTGAATGTTCCTGTACAGTGCCCTAAGATGACTTCTGATGAGACTTGGTGCTATAGAAATAAACTGAATTGAACTGAAATCTCTGTCCGTCTGTCCCCTCAGAACAGACCACATAGAAGATGGTTTTGGTTTCAGGTTGAAGGTCTGAAGCTGTATCAACTAACATGGAAACACAGAGGTTCGGATCAGATGATCACAGTTGTGTCACATGACTGTCCAACAACACCACCACATCTGGAATAGAACCCAAACATCAGTTCTCATAAAGAACTGTTTTAGGTGTTCTTCTGAGGGTTGATCTGAGACATAAACATGTTCATTCTGATCCAAATCATAATTCAAAGAATCAAGATTTGCAACAGAACCAAATATCTGTTCCAGAACCAAAGAACTGCAAAAAAAAAAAAAGATCTGTCACAGAACCAAAGATCTAACAGAACTAAAGATCTTTAACTGAACTAGAAGATGCTGGACCCTGGAGGATCTCCTGGAGCCCAGGAGAACTCAGGTTTCTGATTAGTTCCTGTCCCCCTCACCTGTGCACTTCCTGCTGCTCTCGTCCTTCTTGGAGGAGCTCATCAGTTTGCAGTTGAAGTTGTCCTCCCAGTACTCGGCAAACCACACGTTTCTCCTGTTGTTCTCCAGAGTTCTGGACGTGAAGTAGGCGTCGAAGCCTGAAAGATGATCAGAGACAACCATCAGCTAATGACATCATTACAGCTCCAGTATGACAGGAATTTACTTTTTTCAGCAATTTTTTTGAGAAAATGTGTCCCTGAGATGGACAGGCCACCAGCCACTTGTCCAAGTGCCACACACAAACTCCACACAGAGAGACCCCAGGTTCAACTGGGGATTGAACCCAGGAACTTCTTTCTGTGAGGCAACAGTGCTAACCACTGAGCCGTCGTGCTTCCACCTTAACCTGAACCTGAACAAAACTGCCTGAAGGTCACACTGAATCCAGTTGCTGCTGAAGTTCTTCAGCAGTTCCTCACAATTGTTGTGAAGCCTGGATCCTGGAGCAGTTCTGAAGGAATCAGGAGGAGTTTCCTCTGATGTTCAGGTATCGATCCAACTTGCAGCCGCTGCTTGGTTCCGCTCAGTTCATCTGGAGTTAATGAGGCCATTAATCAGTTTCAGTCTAAGCCCAGTTTCAGCTCGGCTGCTACCAACAAGAACTGAAAGACCTCAGAGAACCAGAATGGAGAAGAACTGAAAGACCTCAGAGAACCAGAACTGACAAGAATTGAAAGGCCACAGAGAACCAAAATAACAAGAACTGAAAGATTTCAGAGATCCAGAACTGACTAGAACTGAAAGACCTTAGAGAAACAGAACCAACAAGAACTGAACAACCTCAGAGAACCAAAACAGAACTGAAAGACCTCAGAGAACCAGAACTGACAAGAATTGAAAGACCTCAGAGAACCTGAACTGAAAGACCTCAGAGAACCAGAACTGACAAGAATTAAAAGAACTTAAAGAACCAGAACTGAAAGACCTCGGCGAATCAGAACTGAAAGATCTCGGATCACCAGAACCAACAAGAACTGAAAGACTTTGGTGAACCAGAGCCAAGAAAAACTGAAAGACCTCAGAGAACCAGAACTGAAAGACCTCGAAGAACCAGAACAAACAAGAACTGAAAGACCTCAGAGAACAAGAACTGAAAGACCTCGAAGAACCAGAACCAACAAGAACTGAAAGACCTCAGAGAACCAGAACTGACAAAAACTGAAAGAACAACAACCTGATATGAAGCCATGTAAACAAAAGGAGGAATACCAAGCGTTTAGTTTCTGCCTTCTGGTGTTTCAGTGTTAATTCCACCTGAAGCAGGAGGTCATCTGAAGGATGGACCAGAACAGCCAAGCTCTGTCCACAGAAACCAGCTTCAGTTCACAAACTGGGACCTTCTTTACTACAAAACATGCCCTCTGTAGGACACCACTGTCTTCTAAAGGACACAGTTGTCCTCTGTAGGGTAGGACACGGTTGTCCTCTAAAGGACACAGCTGTCCTCTTTAGTACACAAAGATCCAGAACACACCAACAGGTAGCTAAGACAAACTGCAGGGTTCTAAGGTTGCTGCTGAAACTGTGGGTGGGAGGAAACGCTGCTTCCAGAAGCGCAGCCAGGAACCACGGAGGAAAAGTTGATTAGCAGAGCTGCTGCAGCCGAGCCTAGAGTGGAGGAAACGAGCAGCTAACACTGTCGTTTCAGATAAAACTAATCCGTCTTTGTAGGGACGAGGGGACAAACAGGAGTCAGAAATGACTTCATGTACAGCTTACCTCTCACAGAACCAAAAGGAGGTTCAGGCTGATAAGTTTCAGGCATATGAAGAAAAAAAAGACAAAACTCTTATTTAAAAACCAGTTTATCAGATGAAGTTGTATAAACAATATTTACTGAACCAAACCTGATAAATGTAAGAAACTTTTTTTTACAAAAACATCCTCCAAACAGAAGAGGAGGCTTTAAACTGAAGATGAATTATCAATAAATTAAAATAAACGTCTGAAACTGTAGAAACATCAGTCAAGTTCTTTTTGCCACAAACTTCTGCTGCTTTTGGTGTTTCCCCATGAAGCAAAATCAGGTCAAAACTTTCTGCAAACCCCCCAGAGGGCATGTTAATATGTACGGGCTGAGGGGAAGATGTGCTGCAGGATCAGCTTCAGACCAGAGTTTGTCAGATTAGCTTTCAGTTTCACACCAAAGCATTAAGGATCCAATCTGACAGGCAGCCAGAGAACAAAACACTGGGCCAGAGTCCAGACACACCTATAGAACAGGCAGAAACGTCTAGGACAGGCTGAAACATCCAGGACAGGTTGAAACATCCAGGACAAACTTAAGCATCCAGGACAAGCTGAAACATCCAGGACAAACTTAAACATCCAGGACAGGATGAAACATCCAGGAAAGGCTTAAACATCCAGGGCAGGATGAAACATCCAGGAAAGGCTGAAACATCCAGGGCAGGATGAAACATCCAGGACAAAATGAAACATCCAGGACAGGCAGAAGCATGAAGGAGAAAGTGAAGCATCCAGGACAAAGTGAAACATCCAGGACAAATCAAAACATCCAGGACAGACTGAAACATCCAGGACAAACTTAAATGTCCAGGACAAATTTAAACATCCAGAACAGGATGAAACATTCAGGAAAGGCTGAAACATCCAGGACAGGATGAAGCATGCAGGAGAAAGTGAAGCATCCAGGACAAAGTGAAACATCCAAGACAAATTGAAACATCCAGGACAAACCGAAATATCCAGAACAGTCTGAAACATCCAGGACAGGCTGAAACATCCAACAGGCAGAAACATCCAGGACAGGCTGAAACACCCAGGACTGACTGAAACATCCAGGACAGGCTGAAACACCCAGGACTGACTGAAACATCCAGGACAGGCTGAAACATCCAGAACAGGCAGAAACATGCAGGAAAAAGTGAAGCATCCAGGACAGGCAGAAAGATCCAGGACAGACTGAAACATCCAGGACAGGCTGCAACATCCAGGACAGGCAGAAACATACAGGAGAAAGTGAACCATCCAGAACAGGCAGAAAGATCCAAGACAGACTGATACATCTAGGGCAGTCGGAAACATCTGGGACAGACTGAAACATCCAGGACAGACTGATACATCTAGGGCAGTCGGAAACATCTGGGACAGACTGAAACATCCAGGACAGACTGAAACATCCAGGACAGGCTGAAACATCTAACAGGCAGAAACATCCAGGACAGGCTGAAACACCCAGGACTGACTGAAACATCCAGGACAGGCTGAAACACCCAGGACTGACTGAAACATCCAGGACAGGCTGAAACATCCAGAACAGGCAGAAACATGCAGGAGAAAGTGAAGCATCCAGGACAGGCAGAAAGATCCAGGACAGACTGAAACTTCCAGGACAGGCTGCAACATCCAGGACAGGCTGAAACATCCAGGACAGGCTGAAAATCTAGGACAGGCTGAAACATCCAGGACAGACTGAAACATCCAGAACAGGCAGAAACATCCAGGACAGGCAGAAACATCCAGGACAGGCAGAAACGTCCAGGCCAGGCTGAAACATTCAGGACAGGCAGAAAC